CCTCCGGGGCGGTCAGCCGGCGCGGTAACCGGCCAAGGGGAGAATCGCAGCGTCGCGGCATCGCTTTTTGCTTCAGCCTGCGTGTGAGCGAAGCGTTTGCCGGCGAGTTGCCCGGAGAAGCCGTGGCTAGTGCGAAGGGCAGGGTCCTGCCTTTCGTCTTGCGAGAGACGAATCACGAGTTCTTGTGTCACGGGCTTCCTCATTTCAGCGTATCTAAAACCTCGTCATGTTTGCATCTGAGCCCCGTGGCGATCGGAGCTCGCAAGCTGTCACGGCGGGCTCTGCGGGGGTGGGGGGTAATCACTGGGTTCAGCCAAACGGGCTGTCCCTCTAGCAGGCTCTCTGCCGAGCTGCAGCCAGGTGCTTATTGAATTGTGGGTCGCCAGCGTCTGGAGCTTTACTGAAATCTGCGGCGGGAGAAGCAGAGGGGAATCTGTTGCGCCACTGTGGTTGGCTGGTGCAATCCCTGAATGTCTCGTACGTGATTTTCGCATGAACCCGGGAGCCAAATCTTCTAGATTTCATTATTATCTTCATTACTGCCGCTTCGGTTGGGTCTTACAAAGGATGTCTCAGTCTCCTCCTTCCCTTCTTCCCCCGTGTAAACAGAAGAAAACTGTTCTGTGAAGTTGCGGCTTGGTATTATCAAACGCTTTCAGATTCTCAGCTAAAGTAGTACTAGAAAGATAACATAACTATAATTATTAAGATTAAGGCACTTGAACAAACAGAGCCTGGCTAATCACAGTGGCTCTTGCCTGCAAGCTCTTCACATGAGAGTCGCAAAGGGGATTGATTAGAGGCCTGGTAAATAATTTTCTGCTGACTGGCTTCTCAGTGCGATGCAATAACAAACAATGGCTTATGCCTGAAACTTACTCCAGCATTCAGCCTGCTGGGCTCTGCCCTGGATGAATCAATGCTAATTAATGTGCTCAGCAGCAAAACGTTTTGCAGTCCCGAGGCAAAACTCGGGAAAGAATCCCAAATCGGCCCAGTGAATTGTCTTTGACTATGCACGAGGCTTAGATTTCCTGTCTTTTGGGAACTGTGAGATGTTTCTAGATTTTGACTTCTCCTTTTTTGCAGTCAGGGCTGAGGAAGTGGCCAATCACTGACTCCGTGACCCTGAAGTTAGTTTGCAGGGGCCTGAAACAGTCAATCCTCTGTGTTCTCCGTGGTGTGCGCCCAGGATGTCATCACCTTGCCATACCTCTGCTGTGCTGGCAGTCTTTATGGCCCTTGCTGTGGGTGTGGGGGCTGAACAGTCGAAAGAGAGGAGCTGCGATGTGGTTGGTGACGAGAGCAGCGAGTCGCAAATGGAAAGAGCCCTGCTGAAGAAACTAGAACCCCTGAGCCAAATGAGGTACAGTACAACACACTGCAGGCCTTGGGCTGCGCAGTGCCTACCCTTAGCCCAAGGGGAGGAGAAGATTTGGGGCCAGACTGCAGAATGGGCTCCCCCGTTAGTACGGGCTGTGACTGGCTTCCAGGTCTCGAGTGTCCGCTGCTCTGAACCATGTTCTTTGTAATCCTACGGGCTGTCTGTTCTGTCCTCTCCCTGCTGCAGGTTTAACGTGACTGTTGAGAAAGGCAAAACGGAAAACTACGTCTACCATTTCAGGGTGTGCAGGGAGGTCAACAGCACCTTGCACGATTTTGGTGGCCTGGTACAAACAGATAGACAGAATGGAAGGACCACAGTGATAGGAAGAATCAATGAAACCCAGGTCTTCAATGGAAGTAAGGTTCTACTCAATACTTTTCTTATTTAGTATCTGCCTTTCACCTCCTGATCTGGATTTGCAGCCTATATTGTTTCTCTCTTTGGCAGGTGACTGGATCATGCTGATTTATAAAGGAGGTGATTCATATGGCAGGCACTGCAGTGGTGAGAAGAGAAGAGCTGTGATAATGATTTCTTGCAAGCGGGGAGTTACAGCGGTGAGTGACACATAAGGGGGGAGAGGAGCAGGAGGCTGCCAGGCAAACGGTTGTTTATAAGCAGAAGGGCTTTGAGGAGGCAGCAAGGTTTTCTTCTGTCCTCCAGTGTCTGTTGCCTAGCTGCACCAGCAGTGATAAAACTGTCTTCTGGTAAAGTTCAGCATGTCTGGGCATATTTTCACATGACTTAGCTTTTCCCAAATTGCAGAGTTCATTCAGCATTATTTCGGAAGAGCGGGAAAAGGAGCAGGAGTGTTTCTACCTCTTTGAGATGGACAGCAGTGTGGCTTGCCCAGCTGAGGATTCGCACCTCAGCGTTGGCTCCATTCTACTGATCACGTGAGTCATTGGAAGAGCTGTTCGTGTCTGGGCCATAATCTCCACTGCCATTTAGAAACATAGCAAATGCTATACTAGAATAGATAATTGTGGTATACCTATCCACAGCCATTGTTAGATGTTACTGTGCCTCTGAGCTTTTTGGACAAAAGCTCTTGCACAAGGCATGATGCTGCAGAGCTGCTCTGTTCCCTGTAGACATCCTCCTTCATAGTTTACAGGCAAGTGCACTGAAACATGGAAGACGTGACTTCCTAAAATTGTACAACAGCTTTTTGCCAGAGCTGGGAATTCAGACCAGGAGCCTTGACTCATTTTCTGTGTTTGTGCTTAGAGGCACTACTTCATGTAATGCTGCTGAAAGATTTATACTAGCAGATCAATATTTTGGGGACCATTTCTGGTCTGGTCTCTGTTTATAGCTCTGTTTTTGAGTGGTGCTCAGCTGCTTGCTCCAATACCAATCCGAGGCAGGTGGCTGGCTTGGAAGAGGTTGTCTATACGATTTCCTCAGCTCTGATTTTTAATTCTGCCCTCCAGGTTTGCTTCACTGATTGCAGTCTACATCATTGGTGGGTTCCTCTACCAGCGCCTTGTAGTGGGAGCAAAGGGCATGGAGCAGTTTCCTCACTTTGCCTTCTGGCAAGATCTGGGCAATTTGGTGGCGGTGAGTGAAAATCCCTGTATATTCCCAGCCTGGCCCATATGTTAGGACAGGAGGAAATGGCATCTGCCTTGCCTTCGTGGACTATGTCTCTTGGGTAGACCTACCACCAGGGTAGCGTACTCTGAGGCAGAAGAAGAGGATATCTGTTGGGGGTTTTTTTGTAGGGTTTTTTTTTCTCCCCGAGTACTCTATTTTTGAATCCTTGCCGAGTCTTGATTCCCTGCCGATATCCTGAGATTGCTACATAACAAACTAGAACACATGCTCATTAGCGGTTAACACATTCCAGGTAGGAGTGTTAAGCTGGGGACTGTGAAATGATCGTGTCCGACTCCCTGAAACCCTTCCTTGGTCACCGTAGGCAGTGCCATTTATCCTCCATGCTCGTCTCAGCATGATGTTGCTGCGTACTGTTAATCAGTATGCCCAGGGCTTTCAAGACCGAGTAGGATGTTTGTATGTGTGCTTCTCTTGTCAAGACAAGTTTTGGGGTCCTGTCCCAGGTAGCACGGGGATAGGCATGATCCCTTAGCACAAGAGAAATCGCAGAAGCTGCTGTGCTTTGGATTGCATACAGTCTGATTTGGGTGCAATATCTTGTGCTTGTAGGATGGCTGTGACTTTGTCTGCCGATCTAAGCCTCGAAATGCGCCAGCTGCATACCGTGGTGTGGGTGATGACCAGCTGGGTGAGGAGTCAGAAGAACGGGATGACCATTTGCTACCAATGTGACAGGCTTTCCACACTGAGTTCTTTTCTCCCCATCTCCCCAGCGCTTGTTTAGTCGGGTGCCTCCCAGCCAGTTCTCCTTCTCTCACTTCTGATTTTCTTTATGCTATTTGCTTTCAGCGTCTCTGGTGTGTCAATTCCCATGGATGCCTCTGGGTGTGAACGGCACTGGTCCCTGAAGGCATGTCTTATGAATATAATGCTGGTTTAGGTTTTCAAAAATGCAGCAGAGCTGGGGGGGGGAAAGTGCTGAGAGTTGACTAGAAGACAGCGAGAATGCAATACGAGCGTTCAGCACTGAGCAGGAATGGGAGATGAATCGCTGAGAGGAAAAAAGGGCCGTGGATGGGTGCAGGAAGGGGAAGGAAAATGAGGCAGTGGGTTAAAACAGCCGAGACTGTAGGAGGGATCTTTTGTGTCCTTTTTTTTTTTTTTTTCCCCCCTCCTCAGGTTTACAGGATCTTTAAGACACTGGAATTATTTTTCTTTTAATGCATTTTCAGCTTTTCTAGCTTCTGCACTGTTACGCACTGTTTCTGCCAGCATATCCTGCACAGAGTGCTCTACGCCAGACTCCGTGGGGGTGGAAGAGGCATTAGCACCTCTGCAGTCTTTTCTTTTCCTAATGGTAATATGTTGAAGAGTACACACCGGTTTCCTTCAACAGATGAAAAGGGATGCATGCCATCCTCTCAGACTGGAGAGGGGCAGTGATACAAAAACTATAGGAGTTAAATACAGTCTTGTGACTTTCCAGTTCAGTCAGACTATTGTTTCAGTCTTCTCAATCATTGAGAAGCAAAAGGAAATGACGTGCTGCTAAGTAAAGGGAACACTTGCTGAACTGACTTCAAGGCAGAATGAGACAGATGATAGCTGTCACTTGAGTTCTGTTACAAGCTTCCCGAGGTGACTGCCCACACAGTTTTGTCACTGTCAGCATTGTGATTCCATGCTCTCCAAGAGTTCCCCATGAAGCTACCAGAATTTATTTTTATAAAAAAGGAACCACAGAAGCCAAGGACAAGAATGCTAACACATTAAAAACTGCATAAAGGACTCCCACGCTTACAAGGTCACCTTTCATAAATCACTGTCCCCTTAAGTGTGGTGCAGACCAGTCTTAAGATACTTGCCCTGTGCAGACGGTACTTGCATACTGCTGCTGGCTGGGAGTGAGAGAGACCTTCTCCTGGGGCCCTGGTGAAAAGCAGCTACAGCTGGGTGGTAAAGACTTAATTGCAACCTTCAGGAACTTGGTGTCTTGATTCCTAATTGCTTTTTATGTGAGGGGCTAGACTCTAAGCAATCCCATTCTGCCCTACTGTAGGCTGGCAGAGAACTGTCCTCAGTCTTGAGGGCAGAGACTGTGAATAAGCAAGCTGCTACCGCTAACGGCAGAGCACAGACAAGGTTCCTGTATTTTTAGTACTACCAAAGCAGTCTGAACAGTGACATTGAGGGAAGAGGCATGGCCCTGCTTTCTTGCTGGGTTTAGAGTGGGCGAACAATTCCTGCTTTCTTTGACTTTTGTTACGGTCTCAATCTTTCTCATAACATGGGAAAAATAGGAAGTCACTAAGTCTGTTGTTACTGTTTTTCATGGTGGTGTTTAAGGTAATTTTTTTTGTACAAAACACAACTTTCAAAAATAAAATGACCAAAAAAACTGGTGAAGTGTTGTGCTGATGTAACAGGAGCTTTCTTTGGTGCCAGAGCATCTTTCTTATCCAAGGGTGTGGTGCCTTGTGCCTGAAATTCTTTTGCCAGGAATGGATCTCTTATTAGTACATGTTTTTTGCTGCCACCTTGTATGACTTCAGTTCCCTTAGGGCTTGAGAGGGAGGGGTGTACACATCTTTAATAACTGAAACTTTAAAAGCTCAGGTAGTTACAGATGGGAAAAGTTCAGTTATTAAAAGCTCAGGTAGTTACAGATGGGAAAAGTTTCCTACGCTCTGTATTTCTCTGCAGTAATAAAAATCAGAAGTCACTTTTTGATGAAGGTTGTACTTCTCAAACACTAGTTTAATGTTCAGGTTGGGGAGGGTGGGGAGAGGACGTTGAAAAGCAGCCAGACTTACAAAGCCTGAACAAGTATTTTTTATTAAGAACACTGAACATGAAATGAAGAAGTGAAGCCTTCCCATTTGACTGAAATAAAATCCGGTCCTCAGAAGTAGCTAGTAACATAGGCAGGCTAGCTGCCTGCCCACCCTGCCAAGGGTCAAACTAAACAGGAGTTTTATCACACCCAGCCTGCTAAGGATAAAATGGTTTAAGGGCAGCCTTCCTCTGCTGATTGCGGTTAGAGATTCTAACCTTCCCCCTTCCCTGCCCCCAAATTACATCAGACCAAATAGTGTTACCAGGGCGCAAGCATGGGCAGCTTCCTTTGGGCCTATTTTGATTCAACAAGTCTCAGAAGTCTCCTCTCACAGAAACAAGGATGTCATTAAAGTGAGATTCAACAGTACAGTTAAGACTAGGAAGCTGCTGCCACATTTTATCCATCTTCTAAGCACTTTCCCTCCTCTCTTTTTCTAACATGGGTCAATAAAGAGCCATTCCAAAGATCTCTAATGTTTTCCTACCTATGCTATTAGGCCTCCTGCCTTGCCACTACCACTTTCCTGCAACAGTAGGTGCTTTCCACAATGAACAGTCTTAGTTTCACTCAAATATTTCACGTGAAACTTCTGAAAACAGAAAAGCTGAGACACATGGTTTATAAAATCATCTTGCTTTCAGGTATTTGGCTCTAGGGGGCACTTACCTCTTCATGTTTTGTGTAATTTCTTCAGGTCTTTTGCCTGTTTGAGGCAGAGGTGCTCCTGGATGAGAAGCACTCTGCTCAGGTTTTCACCTTTGGCAATCTGGTTACAAAACTTCAGAATACCACACTTGGTCCTTAAAAAAAAACAAACCTGGAGGGGCTGAAAGGGAGGGACTCAGCCTATAACATAATTCTATGCCTTAGAAAAGAGAAGTAGCATTAAAGGATTAGTATTCAGTTGTTGGAGGGTGCTTTTTTGGTTTGGTTTTTTTTTTTTAACTGAGGAAGAGAAATTTGTTTTACAACACCAACCAAAACAACAACAAAAAAAAAAAGCCTGAGGCAGGCAATACAATCCTGCCAGCTTAAACTTTGTCCCATAAGCTCTCCTGAGGATAATGAAGACAGACACAAAAATAATACAAACTGATAAGAGAACACAAAAAAAACCCAAAACCAAAACCCCAGCCCATTTTATGAAGAGCCTTGGCGCTTCTGGAGCCTGCTTTGGATCTGTAAATTATGCCCCAGCACAATGGGGAGATAAACCTAGTGCTGCAGGGTTCCCCAGCATAAGACACTCCCCCTCCCCTTCGATTTTCCCATCACCTTGTCATAAGTACTCAGGATAAATCCTCCTCTGGTTCAGAGAGGAGCATCTGGAGCAAATAGCTGCCACAACACTTTGTGTTCACTCTGCATCTCTACAGGAGACAGTAAAGCTAAGGCAGCTCCTATTGCCACAGGCCTTCAAGTTTGGTATGCATGCTGGAATGGCTATTAAACCCAGTTCATGAACAGCCTAGGTCTTTTTTTAAGAGTGAAACAGCAGCAACCCCTTTTGCTCAAATTCTTGTTTGTCCACCTCTGTCACTTGGAATTTACTAGTTCCCCTTCCTAAATGCCCCAGGCACAGCTGCTCCCACTGTCCGTGTGGGGCCGGCTCTTCCTATGCCTCAAGTTCTGGCACAGCAAGATTCAAAACTAAGATCTAGTAGACCTGCTGTAGCAAGAAGGGGCAAGGGCAGTTCCCTTTCAGAAGTCTGCTAAGACAGAAAGAGGTCCCCTTCCCATCTTTATGTAGTATACGGGAGAGGCATATTCAAAATCAGGAAGAAGGAAAGATGTTTCAAGGCCCCAGCTGGGAGTTTTCCTCCCCCTTGTAGCACCATTAAGAGACCAAGACATGGGCTTGTGCATGGCAGTTTCAATCAGTTAAATTCCTTCTCATTCTTCTTGAATGCAAGACCACAGGGGACCGTCCCATTCTTCCCCGCCCCAGCAGGATGCTCCAAAGCTGGCAGCTGCCCTGGGGTCAGAGCAAAAGTGAGACCTCTGGCTTCAGAGCTGTTAGGTCTCCTTGAGGACATTGATCTTGGCACAGATCTTGAGAGCTGGTCCCAGCTTGATGTTCATGGCACTCATGAGGTGTTCCTCCTTCAGAAGCAACAGGGCCTGGCCATCAATTTCCTGTGACCGAAACTCCTCAGCAATCTCCTGGCACCCTGTGAAACCAAAAAAACAGCACTGAGAAACATGCGCCCTGGGCACTCCCCTTGTTCCCACTCTCTGGGCCTCTGGCAGGTACAGAAAGCAAGCTAGGAATCTAACCAACCCCCATCCCCACTCTACTCCACAGGCTGCCTGAGGAGTACAACTCATCCATCTGTATGATCTACTCCAAATCAGAAACATGCAAAAAGTACAGTAAAAGCACTAGGCACCGCTGACACCACTTTCTTTGCAGAAAGAGAGCCAACAAATTTCCCCATGCTACTGGATCACAGGACTGCAGGAGAGGATCTTAACTTCACCTTGCAGTGATGCAATGAACTCGTACACTTCCTCCACACTCCAGCGACTGGGATTGGTGGACAGGAAGACTGGGTTGATGCCATGTAGATCTGGGGTAGGTGGGGCCATACTAGAGTTTGCCAGGTCCCTTTCTCCGTGACCGGCCCTTACTGACAGGGGTCCTGGAGATGTAGGGGACAAAGCTTCATCATAGCTGGAGTTATCAGAGCCTCGACTTGAGTCTTCCTGGCCCTACAAGCCCATAGGAAAGAAAGAAAGAAAAAAGGTGCTTTGTAAGAAATTCACAATTACTAGGTGCAAAACAAGACATTGGGAGCAGCAGAAGTTGTCCCAACAGTTTGGGACAACTGTCTCAGACTGTTGGTCCAGGGGCAGCTGACACAAGAGCTCCCCGATGCCAGAAAGGGGAGACTTTACTCTCGCCTCCCTTCCTCTTCCTTCTCCCCATCCTCCCCCCATCCATTCCTCTTCCTCATGTCAGCTCTGAAGCTCATTCCATTCTTCTATAATCTGACTCAAATCATTCATGTGGAAGCATGCTAATCAAACGGGAAAAGTGCATTGTTTTCTACCAAGGCTGCCAGCTGATCTCACTCACTGAGACCTCCGAGACACAGGCGGGAGTGAACACAGAGAGAACAGAACAAGTACAAATGTGAATCCACTTTTTGCAGTCAATGAGCAATTAGAACAGCTCACTGTGCCTTGTGTAACAACTGTGTCAATGTGCACTTGGCACGTCCTGTACGACTACATCCACTGTGAGAAAGTGGTACACCCAGCAGTGACAACTCTTACACTGAGATCTGCCTCGACAGAGGCAGACAGGACTCTGTCCTTACCCTGTGGCGCTTGCCCTGGATCTTTGTTCGAGCAATTTCAGAGCTGCTGCGCCGTGGTCCCCGTCGGCGGACACGGGCATAATTAGCTTCCTGGAATTCCTTCATCTTCTTTCTCTGCAGCCGAAACTGATGGCTGCAGCTGACATTGTACCTCAAGTAAGTAGAAGCAAAGCAGCAGTTAGGAAAACAGCAACTATCTAAACCTACTGCTTCTCCTTGCTCTAGATGGGGATAAAACTCCTCTTTACCATCAAGTTCTGTTCCTCCTCCTTCTAAGACTTCCCCTTGGAAGGAACCAGTCCAGACTTCTGACACAAGCAATATTTGGACACCAGTCTTGATCTAACATCTCAAGGGTCAATTAAGTCATTCCCCTAAGGGAAAAAAGACCCATAACAAGCACTCTGCTATCAATAGGAGGCAGCAATGACTAATCTAACTTGTCCCCAGGTTTTTTCCCCCAATGCTCCCTCATGTCTTTGTCTAGTACCGATACAGCAGACAGCTACCAGTATGCATTCGTCTTGTCAGTCGAATGTACATGTGACTGAAGAGAGGTTCTTTGGAGCCCAAGAACTTCCCCCTTCCCATTCCATTTTCTGAGCAAGTCAGAAATCCTGTTTACACTCAACACCACATCCACCTCTCCAGACCTAGAAGCATTCACAAATAATTTAGAGTCCTAAAGGATCTCTGTGGCCAGTGCATCCCATGGAGGGAAGATCAGATGTACTGAAGTGTTGTACACTACCTGGAGAGGGGGCACATGCCAAGTTCCAGAGAATGTACGGTCAGAGAAAAGGAAGATTATGTCTTGCTATTACCTTTTAGCACAGGTCATGGAACAAAACCTCTTGGAGCCACGGAACTGGGTTGCTGGGGCATACTTCCCACAGTATTCACACTTCAGCAAGTTTGCCTTCTTATCAAGCTCTAGTGAGATACAGAGATACACACCAGTTTAGCTTCTGAACTGAAGCAGATCATACACAACAATTCCCCATTCCACTACTCTTCTTCTAAGCAGACAGATTCCAAGCACTATTCTTTACTGAATCTACTAAGCAGTTAGCTTGGGGAAGAAGCTGGGGAAGGAGAGGCAGAAGCTCCACTAATTAGGATCCCAGGATAGTGAACAGACCAGTTTATTTCTCCTTGTCAGTACCGTTTCGCTGAACAAGCAAAAAATAGCATATCCCTCATATCCTACAAGGCTGTGGGGGAATCTCCATCGCTGCACTCTCTGCTGCATCCACACATCCTTCACAGCCTTCAGAGTCATTAGAGACAGGTACAGTTCAGATTCTTCTGCTTACTACCAACACAGGATGTGTTAGATCATATTAACAACAACAACAAAGTATTGTATTCTGGCACTCAAGAAAAGGAGATCCTAGGTCCATAGCTTGAGTCTCTAAGGAGTTAGCAGGAAGGGATACAAGTCCATAATGTATAAAATTAGTAATACAGTATCAGAGAGCAGAAACTTTCAGTAACACTAGCTAGGCCTCCTGGTGCTGAAACTCACCCATAGAAGCACTGTCCCCTCCCGGAGAATTGCTGGACAGGTTTTCACTCTGGCCAGAAGGAGCCTCTCCCTGCAGCGGTTTCTCAGATTCCTTCAGCAGCTGAGAACAACCCACCTGGACAGGAAGAGAAAGAGTTGGGCCCATCAGTAAAGGATTCTCTGTGGCCACCACCCTCTGCAAGGTATATGCCACTCATATCTTATTACAGCTCAGAAGAATCCCTCTGCCTACTAGGGAAGGAGAGATGCTGAACAAAGTTATTACTCCTTCCTGACTCACAGGCTTAGCGGTTCATTCAAAGATCACCAAGTACTATCTGCCTTGAATATCCTGCAATTCCGTGTAACTGCATTTCCCCTTATTTGCTTTAACTTCACTTCCTGCTTGTTCAAAATGCAGTGCATCTTTCCCTCACTAAAAATCAGAGAGAAGAACCTTCTTACAATTCCTGCATAAATTATTGTTTTGGGGCTACTGGAGAAAACAGTTCCCGTCACATTTGGTTTACTCCCTCCAACCCATTCTCTTTAATGCCACCACTTAATGCCTTGCTTCATGCATGACACCTCCCTCCTTTCCCTTCCTCTTCACTGCCTGTGTCTCAGGCTAAAAATTGGAACATGGGGAAAGAAACTCCTGTCCAAAGATGGAAGCCCACCACCTTCCCGAGAGCGCGCTACATGTCCTTCCCCCACAGCGGAGAATCCTTACTGGAAAGGGCTCTGCTCCTTCCTGGATGACAAAGCCCTCAATGATGTGTGTGAGGATCTGGGGCTTGACGATGGCTTGTGGGGGTTTGGAGTCTCCCATCTGACGTGACACCATTGCCAAGTTTGGGGTGGGAGCAGAGGTGGGGGTGACTGATGCTCCTTCACTTGAGGTGGTGTTTGGGGTTGCAATGGCAGCAGGATCAGATTTATCTGGAAAGTTAACAGCACAAGAGTCAGTTACCTTTGCTTCATCTACTTCAAATGGAATACAAGATCAGATCATTAGCACGCACAAGCACAGCTCTCCTTTGTACCTCACCTCCAAGGCCATTCTTCTCCTCCATGTTTTTGGGGCTGTCTGTCACAGGAGAGGACCTGGCAGGCAGGAGTGCAGTGACACTGGGTGATTCCTGCTTCTCCTCCTCCGACTCTGCCTTGCGCTTAACTGCTAAGGTCTGAGACTTGCCCTGCGTGAGTAAAGAGGAACACGTAAGCAGAGAGAGGAGCCCCAAAGCAACGAACAAGACAGATAGATTGAAGGCAAAAGTAAGATGCGCCTGCTCCATCATACTTCATCTCCAGCCTGGTTTCTTCTCCTGGAAATGCCTCTAGCTCCCTCACAGTACATACCTCTACCTGAGAGCATTTGCCTAGCAGGGAGCAAAACTTCATGTATCAACATGAATTGGGCCACTGATATAATACCAAGACATTGTGTAAACCTCAAGGGATTATTCCAGGCAGAAAGAAATGGAATGGCAGTCACCCAGCAGTTTCCAAACAGGCATTTGACTAGATCAGATCAGTTTCAATGAAGGAGAGTCAAAACAGTAGGGGAAACATGTTGGATGAGAGCAGAATTGGCCCCCCACTCTAGCAATCAGACAAATACTGTGACACCTTCCTGAAGAAGCAGCCAGAGTTTAGAAACAGTCTCAGCAACCAGCTAAGGATATCTGAGCTGGCAAAGAGCTGTTGTTCCAGGGTGTTGGGCAGGCCCTAGCTGGACAATTCAGAGCAGCATGGACGAGGCCTGTGGAACATGAGCCATCTTTGTTTCCTCTACATAGCCTGCTGCTAGGGGATCTTCTGAGGCCTAGAGTCAGTGGCTGGTACCACACACCAGGTCTCTGACCTGGAGGTATCCACACCTAGAGAGGAGAGGGGAGTTCAGCTCTCATCTCTCTCCTGAAAGAGACAACAAAGATGCCAGTTATTGTTTGTATTCAGTTTATGTGGCAAGGTTTTGGTAGCAGGTGGGCTACAGGGGTGACTTCTGTGAGAAGATGCCAGAAGCTGCCCCCATGTCCGAT